CTAAATATACAATTATAAAATCAAATTATTCCGATCTCAGAATAAGAATGCAATTTTATCGTGTGGTGGACATAATGCATGGATAGCTAATATATAATAAAATCGATGGTATCATATTAACTCTACATATTTGTAATCGCGTTAACTATATATCAAACATAAGCTATTTCATCGCAATTCGTAATATGCGGTAATCGATAGCGATCATTTTGCCGTTCCTCTCCTTGAAGAATACCATTGGACTTCTTAGCGTGGGCGCCCATTGTCCGTGTGGATTGGAAATGCGTCTGGTGTAGGTTGGGTAGTAAGGTGAGGGTGCGCCTAAGTTACGACTGAGTGGAGCATGCGTAGAACTTTCAACGAGAAGGATGCAGTGATTTGCATAATCTTATCTGTCAATCTATTTTAATCAGTCTCGTCGTTAAGCCTGTAGAAAAACAACGACACGCGTAGCTGGTTTATCGTCGCATTTTTATTAATATTTAGCACTTTTCTAGGTACAAAATTAACCTTGCAACATTTGAAAATATGCACACACCAAAAAAAAGTCCAAAAATATGCCACTAACTTGGGTCTCACCCTTAAGACTGGCGTTTCACCTCCGCCATTAAATTGACTTTTCAAACATGGAACTATATTCACAGTCGTTAATTGAAACCTCGTATATGACTCGGTTCCGTTCAGTTCATGTCTCAACGAGCCCAAGCCGAGTCACGGTATATGGACGTTGTTACGAAAAAGCAACCCGTCACCAGTATGGCAATATAGCTCACCGATTTACTAACTAAATAGCAATGTTCATTTCAGTTTACTATTACAAACTTACAAAATATTGATATTTTGTTTGCAAAACAATGAGCTATATTAGCGTACTGCTGGTTAGGTTTCTTTTTTGTTCATATTAAAAGGTGGGCGATTGGGAACTCCGGAGTGCTCAGGTAAATTTGGAAAGAGAAAATTTAGAAAATCTACAAGAAAAATTACAGACAAAAAGTATATTTATAAAGAAGAACAACCATGGAGGAACTAAAACCAATCATTCCCAAACAATCTGGCTCAAAACCATTGTCCACAACTGTTCTATCATCTTTTCTCACACAGTTCATTTTTAATCATGACCAACCCATATATGAATGAGCGAAGGAAGAACCACCATCATGAAATAGTCCAAATGTGTGGGAGCAATTGAAGTTAGCATACGTCGAGTCGTATAGGTGACATAACCATGTCAATGGCCTCATCTGTCACTGACTGGGCGATTTCTATACGTGGGTTGTTTGCGAATACGGTACATTAACTGCACACAACGACGTAAAGTGGTTAACAACATAACCAGTACGCACAAAGTACTACTCTACGTAAATGCCAGCACTTTTACGTCACTGGCCAAGGAGGCCTTGAAAACGGGCGCTGTTCGAGTCGTTTCAGTTCACGGGCAGTTGTCAAGTTGTCCACGTTAACTTGAAGTACTTCTACGATAGTAATGTATTGGTTTGTTGATCGTGGTCGATCACAAACGACTAGGACAGACTCAATGGATAGCCGTTCCCGTTTCAGTCGTTCCCGCCAAAAAAAACGCAGTAAAACCGAAAGCAGTCGTATATTCAACCAGTTTCCTCTTTAGAATCCGAGCCATAACAATAACTGATTAAAATGACGAAACATTTTTAAACTTATCGAATTTAATTCGAATTTAATTTAAGCATTTACCAACTTGAAGTAGCTTTACCCCAACTACCTACCATTGCCATACATTTTCGGTTTTGAGAGAAATCAGCTACAAACACAGTCACAGACCACACACTGATGTTTGACCTTTTCAGGTCGCCCACACATTGAAGCCCGATCCTTCAAGTAGCCGCAATAAAACAGGGCCACGTTGGTATTTTTTCCCCCGAGAGAAACGAACGAATTGTAACTAGAAATGTTATAGAAATAGCTGTCGTTTTTTTTTACTCGAAAATGTTCAATGATTTTACTAGTTTTTGGAAAGTGATAGTCCCGATACCATTCTGCTAATGGTCACGACGCGGCGTCCATCCTAGCATGACACAAGCATGATGATCATGGTGATGTCTCTTAACACTACATCAGTTGCAAATCGTAATTATTCATAAATATAACAATTTTTCACACAGTAGATATCATGATTATTTGTATGTGTTTTAAAATTTCATTTTTTTGCCCAAAAAGTTAATGCCGTCATTGAATGTCAGAAATTCCGAAAACACAAACACGACTGCTTTGACGAAGTTCAAAATAAAGTTTTTGATCTTTTTTTGTCAAAAATATAATCTCACTTCATCCACCCAATTAATTAAACCTTTATTTGGCTTTTTAAAAACTGAATAAAGATCATCAAAGAGTGTAAAGGGAGCATAAAACGGCCTTAAGACGGGAAATAAATTCAGAACTGCTCAACATTGGCATTTTAGACGAATGTCAACAATATTAAATCATCATCATCATCGTCACTACTGGTGACAGGGGAACTACTGAAGTACCGCAATACCACACCTATCAGTATGGTAATCGCCTGGAGAAAGTGGTTAGAAGTGGTAAAAACCAAAATGGGACGTTAAATTAATAATGTGCCACTTTCCGGTGAGTAACGCACCTGCCGCGATATTTCAACATTTGACGTGGGCGACGAGTGAGGTACTGGTCATTCGTTTATATGAAGTATACTCCTATACACCGATTTATATGACAATATCTCGGTGAACATTATTATCCTCGGGGGCGGAGCTACGTCACGGACGTTCTACGTTGCTAAGACGCGCACTACTGTACCACGTATTTCTAAGGGCTTTGTGCGCGCTGCTGTGGAACGCCGGTGGAGCCGGTGAAAACTCGAGAAAACAACACAAACTCAACTTTGAAGTAATCCTGAACAACCAAATGCATATATGTTACACACGTAGGGCTAATCTTATTACACTGTTCAGGGGACTCTCAACAACCATCGCAAAGTACCGTTTTCTCAGCCGTTTTCTGCGACTGTTTTGTCTTTGTTTTCACCGCGAGGGTTGCCAAGCGGTAGAAAATGCCCGGATGTCCGCCCCCGAGGATAATCTTATGTTGAGTTATTAAGCATCCTTATTTGGGGATGCCCGGTGGCCGAGGGAAAGACGTGTAGTGGCGTGTAGCTAGGCGATTAGGTGCCGTACGCGAGCGCCGGTTCGAGTCACGCACGCAGTACGTGTTTACTATAATTAGACATAGTCTTTACCTTGCCGTTTATTCGGTGTTATTTGCTTACTTTTTTTTTTCAATCCACTGAATCAGTACACAGCTTGGCGGCACTAATCTATGGTCGTACTGATATCATGCATATGATGCTGCTTTAGTTTGGATGGTGATGGGTGGGCTAGAGAATTTAGGAAATCATATGAATTTCTTGATTCAAAGAAAAAGATAAAATAACAATTTCAATAATTGTTGTAATCGATCGGTGATCGATACGTTTATTTGGTTGAATCAGACGTATACTGAAGGTGAATTGATGTAAAAGAGTGGGGTGAATAAAAAATTGTCACTCACGACATTTTTTTTATATTCCACTCCTCCCTCTACAGAACTTCTCCGGTAATCGTGTGTGTGTGTGTATGTCACAGTGATTAACGCTCCGGGCTCTGTCAATGTGTTACATAATTGTCATATTGATGGAGGGGTGGCGTTTAGAACAGAATACATACATGAACATGGACAATGTTAAGCAACGCGACAAGAATTGATTTGGCATAAGAACAGCCATGCATACTTTAAAATATGGTTAAAATGGTGCATGGGTGGGGGAGGGGGCTATGTTTATTAAACTGTCGTCACACAAAAAATCGCAGCCATAAACTGACACGCCGCGGTCGTTGACCCTCACGCGTGGGCGCAGGACCTATTTGCGGCGACAATGTCGCTACACTGAAATTCCCGATGATCGTTTTAGTACATTATAATTAAAAGCAATAGGTGTGATATACGGAAGTCACTGAGAAACTCGACTATAATGTATTCTCCGGATTGTCGAACCAAGCGATATTTTCATCGTGGTCAATATACCCTTGAGTGACGACAAGGAGAACAGCGTGTACAACCACTCCAGTGCACCAGTGAATTATGTACATTTGCTGGTACAGTGGTTTCACTTCCGCGTAACGGTAAAACATCATCGTTAAAAATGTCGAATCATTGGTTATCGCGGAGATTCAACAGTTGGGAGAAAATAATTGTGTAGTGGAGATTAAATAAAATCAAAAAAAAAATCAATGATTAACTGATTTTATAATATTGGGAAAATATATCTCATGCACTTACATACAACAAACGTAGACGAAATAATACAAACATTAAATCATACTGATATTCAACACTAAATGTGAAATACTTGTATATATTTTACATGGAGAAATATTTTACTGGTTGGCTCCCACGGTATGGATATTACTAGGAACCTGGACGAAATACGATACAACATGTCACGAAACTGACCCACAGCTACGGGTGGATTCTATTTGTGTCCTCGGGTATTACATGTACACTAGTATCATATTCAAAGCGATATTTTGGTCCGTTTTTCTCTCTCACCGCGATGTTGACTGAGTCATCACGAGGAAATCTCTTTCCCTTATATACCCATTCTAAAATTAGAAGCAGAACCCCGGAATTAATCATTATCTGTACGTATGCACGCGATCCGGATGATAGTATCCAGAAATCCACACATACAACCCCTGACCTCCTCTTACCAAATATGGCGAATATTTTAATCACCTTTGACGTCATTGTACTCATGAATATTCAGTGAATCGTTACTCATTGTGTTTATTTACATGTCTCCCTGACGACGCACGATGTGAACTGCCAGGCACTGAGCTGCTCACTGAACGCCGGATGACTGTGCTCGGGAAGCTTATATAGGAGCTAAAAATAGAACGCGTCGCTGATTGGCTGAGCGCAAATATGGGTAAGACGTATATTGCGGAATTCCGTTGATATTGTCAAAGCGTGTATTGAACGACACATACCTTATTTCGAATTGGAGGAGAAAGCACGGTTTTTTTTTATCTGTAGTCTCCTTCGCTTATTTTCGACGGCGATCAACATGACGACTATATTAGAGATGAACACGGCGACGAATTTTATGAGGACGGCGAATATGAATTTCAGTGACTCGTCAGACATTGTGAATGTAAGTATATACAGTATAATATATATTTAAAAAAAAAAAGTGTTTTTGAGCTGAATTGATGCTCGCATGTTGCTGCAGTCATGCTAGTTTGAGTTCCATGTTGCAGTGTTATGGTTTGGCACAGTCTCCCCCCCCCCTCGGGTTCAATGTCATTTTGGGACATGCAATGTTCTATCTACACGTGTTATTTATTTTTGAAACGCGTGATCTCTGTCGAGCGTAGGTTTTCGCTGTGATGCTGGGTTTACATCATGTTTTGTAAACCATACCTTGTTAACGTTCCGTGGAATCTTACGTGTCATGCTTCAAATTAGTCTAACTACTACGATATGATCATGCAGCGCCGCCGTGGCGTGTTGCCTGTGTGACATTTCGTGTCGTTACATTCATAAACAAAACCGCGGCAATTCTGAAATCTGGCGACATGTGTCTGCGAGTGCGAGTTTTGTATTGGGCCATAGTGTCTTGTCATAAAACATTTTCACAGATTGGATTGAAAAGGAACAATTAGCGGTTAATTAACTAAACATACATAGGAATATTAGCTGTATCTTAAATTATGCATGCGTGTGGGTTTTTTCTATTTTAACCACAAACATTCAAACCCTGGACGCAAATCCCCAAAATCGCCTTATATATTCATATCTATTTTTGTTTACTTTTTTCCCAGGTCTGGCAAGATGTGGAGACATTCCTGTACGGTGACCTGAACGGGATGTCGTCGCAGAGTGACACTGTGAGGTACGAGGCTCGAAGTCCTGGTGCCCTCAGCGACTCGACCGCCACCAGTGGGTCAGGTTCCGGTCTCGACACTACCGAGACATACAACGATCTTCTAGATTTGGATTTTATACTCAACAACACGGTGGAAAACAAACTGCCCACGTATGACAGTTGTGTTAACGGCACAAAAATCAAACAGGAACCCGGGCTGGCTGACTTGTGCATTCCAGACTTTAGCTCTGCTTTTACCGATTTACCAGACATTTCTGACAATTTAACGAATATGGGTCATCTTCCAGTCTTCGCACACAAAGAATACACGGAACTGCAGACACCAGCTCAAAATAAGGTGATATATCCAAAGAATACTGCTGGCTACAATATGTTGCATTTGCCAAGCGGACACATGTCACCTCCCGCCTCGCCAAACAGCGGCATGATATTGGAACCCCCACAGAAACGCGCATACTTCAAGCAGGAACCAACGAGCCCATCCGTCTCGATAGCGATGCAGATGCAAACATCTCTCACACCACCCTCATCACCGCTGCTGGACTTACTCATGAATTCCCAGGCGCCGTCTTCGCTCACTGTGGACGGGCTCGGTGCAACGCAGTCCCAACAAACCTCGAAAAGGAAAGGCCGACGAAGTTGGGGGCGAAAGCGTACCGCAAGTCACACATGTACTCATCCAGGGTGCATTAAAACATACACCAAGAGCTCGCACCTTAAAGCCCACCTTCGGACTCATACTGGTGAAAAACCGTACCACTGCAACTGGAAAGGCTGCGGCTGGAAGTTTGCACGATCGGACGAGCTCACGAGGCACTACCGTAAACACACCGGGGATCGTCCCTTCCAGTGCCATCTGTGTGAACGCGCTTTCTCGAGATCAGACCATCTCTCGCTTCATATGAAGAGGCACATGTAAAAACGTGTCGTTGAACTATGTACAAACTATAAAAAAAAACAACACTGCCATAAGATGGCTGAACAATCATCGACAACACGTATCGAGAAATCGTACAAAGTCCGGCAATAGTGTCATCATGAAAGGCTGGCCTTAATATGGCATTCTCGCCGGGGCCCCACCGCTGGCTGGTTGGGGTTGACTGCGCAGCCGCGGTCTCCGACTGGAGAGCGCGGGACAGTTCTTGCGTAATATCGTCGATGAATTGCTCGACACGTTCACACAGTACTGCTGCCTATGAACTTTTTTTTTATGAACTTACAGATGAACTATCTCACTTAATTCAAAATTTTTCGAAAGTATAAATATATATGTATATTGGCAATTTTTCATAATTAATAGTTTTGAAGCATTCTAGAGTAAAACTTGATATAAGCCGACTAGATTATTCAAACAGGGATTTTCATATAGGTGCTGCCTGAGATTTCAGATATTTTATATCGCACAGTTAGTATAGTGCAATAAAACAATTAAATTCAATGGGAACGAGGCTGGGTTTACAATATGTAAATGATCTTTGATCCGGTCATCATCAACAAGTTTCATTTTATATTGCCTTCTACATTGCCTTCCGAGGTCTATATAGTACTCGTACCCAACGTCTGAAGAAAAAACACTTCCCCGTATCCCCTGCTGATGGCCACACCTCGGCCATATCGGATCATTTCAGCTGATATTTCAGTCGCACTTTCAAGTTGTCGACCGTTTACCTCCATGCTGCATGTGACATTCTATTCTTATTATGAACTTCAAGTTCTTGTATAAATGATCTTTTTAAGTATATTTATGTACAGTATATATGTATTGAAACTTTTTATTATGAAGGGTATTACAAGAAAATGTCGAAACTATAAATACAATTGTCTTGCGTGTTTATTCCCTCATGATATACCCCCGTTCCAGACAACCATAAACATTTCCTGAAACTCGGATTTAAAAACAGATTACTGGTACTATAGATACATCTTATCCCCAATTGATATCACTGCATTGTGAAGTCTTCACCGACCCCATCTGTCTCTGTATATTTTCTCCGTTTCGCTACCGAAAACAATCTATTTTTCGGTAACGAGAAAACAGACAGAGGCAGTCGGAGTACGAATATTGAGACACGCGAGGACCCCAAAACCATCGTGCAGCCAATGTGCCGATACGAAATACAATGTAATGTTATTGCAATCATGGAGGTAAAATCTCTTTTCTACCTCCATGTTGCAATCATGGAGCTAGCTCGATGCTGTAAGTGTACAATCATGAGGCAGCCTTGTCCTTGTCAACAGCGCCCGCTTCAAGTATTCACTACAACCTGGACGAAATCACGTTTCTTCACCCAGGGGGGGGGGGGGTTAACTGATTTCAGTAAGGTTTTAGCTCCCATAAAGAACGCATTATATTGTAAAGGCGAGATGCGTGTGAATGGTATGCCAATGCAGCGAGTTCCAACCCTGGGAGACTGAAGAATGGATTCCTTTAGTCTCCCTTTCTGATGAAAGAGAGCATTCACAGCATGCGACGAGTATTGTATTGTTCTATTCTTTAACCAACAACAGCGTTTCAACAGGTTCTTGAGATCAAGTTGAAGAACAAAGAACTAGGTCACGCATTGTAATATACATGTACTAGTAACTTCGTCTTCAGCCAGCCTCTGCCATGACGTCCGTCAGTGTGCAGGGTCTATATAAATTTCAGGGTCATCCGATTCAAAGATCAGTTTATCTGTTGAAAACCTCTGTTGTCATTTTCTATTGGATTTGTCCATGACTGCACTGCCATCAAGGCTAAACGCCATTCTAATGCGTGGGAAAATACTGGCATGTTTACGTCGAAAGCAATAACACTTACTAATACCATGGAGCATTTTTTAAACACTAGACACAGTTGGCCGTGTGAGCCCATAATTCCCATACTGCAATGAAATTGAACACATGAATCCCTGCTAGCTGTGCTCAGTGTTCCCGGTTTCCCAAATTGATGCCACCAATCACCCCTGCACGTTATCTGGGAACCGATCATCTTGGTCCAAATTGTATTCAGTTCCGTCTTTATTTGCAAAACCTGGAATACCAAAGGCCGTTTTTTTTTTACGCTGTGTTTACCTTACCTAAATGAATATTCCGTAAAATGATCGACTTAGACCCATCACATAACAACTAACTGAATATAGTCGATTCCTGTATTCATATACCCAATTTGTTTTATTGTTCTTCTACATAAGACATTCGAGGATTTAATTTGAAGTTAATGTCCGTTATATTAAATTATCGAACTTTCACTGCCGCCATCGACGCCGGCAGATTCTATAAATTGTATTTTTCAACGTAAAGAACTGACGTAAACACATTATAATTCGAATCGATTTGATACGCGATTCCAATAATCTTGACCACTGTGTCTGTGAGTCCTTACAGACATTTGTAGATTAATCTTTAAGTTAACTTAAAAAGAGAACTTGACCTTGTTTACCCTGCTGTTAAGTTGCTTGATAGAACATGTCGAGCGCCCCCACTTCCCTATCCGTCCGGCGATGGCGCCATCACAAATATCTTTTCGCTGGTTCTCGGCGTTCCTTGCGAATGGTAGGACGCAGGTAACTGTTCTCTACCATCAGTCCAAGACATCAGTGATGGAGCCGTGACCCTTACTACGCAGGATTGCAGATGACTAGTAATCGCGATATTGTTCCACTGGGCCGGGATTCCGGCCCAAAGGCACGTGACAAAGGGACGTAATTTGAAAACATGTTACTATTAGTTTCTCGTGCACAAGTCTTCAAGTTCATAACGCCAAATTGATAACAAAAGAAACAGTTTTTTATTCGCCCAACTTTCGAGAGTAAAAAGAAAACGGCCACGAGCGTGAGAGCTGACGCCAGCTAACCAAGGGAAATAGAACAAGCAACGAGAAAATCATGGACCAATCAGAATGCCGGATCCATTTCTTGTTTACCGGCCTCCTGCGGCTTGGTGCGCAATGACACTTGAGGTGGGAACCACCCAATAACTTCTCGTCACTAGTAACTGTCTGATTGTCTGTCCATCTGCCACGCTGGCGCAACAACCACATTCACACACACCAAATACAAGCCAATAATTATAAAAAGCTCTTATGTACACATTGCATGGTAAAAGTACTTTCCCAGTAAAAAATATGAATTTTTATGACAGAGAAACTGAATGTACACACTAAAACGGATTAGCGTATGTGAGTCCAATTTTATTTTACGACACGCCTGATTCATCCGTTTATTGACACATGATTAGTATTAGACATATGACGTCATGAATTAATGAACTGCAAAGACATTAATCATTCCCTGGGGTTTAATTTCGCTATTTTCACTGAAAGGTAAAAATGTAAAATAGAACTCTTCATTACATCGGGAAATTCATGAACTTAAAACCCGTTGAAATGCTAAAAATATCAAAATAGTGAAATTAAATACCAGTGAAAATAGTTTTACAGTATTTGTAAATGTAATACTGCCCTCTATCGATTTATTTTGGTTAGGGTTATCTCTTGCTTATTCACGAGGACGGAGAATTGTTTGCTTATACCTACTACACGTACGGACGTTAGTAGTCTACTTCCACTCGGAAGAGTTTTGCAGTTCAATACTATAATTTCCCATGATAGCCGATGAGGGCGCATTTCAACAATCTTTCGGAAATCCTTGCGTCACAGAGCACGGTGCCTAGAACGTTTCATCATTAAAGCGTATATTTCTTCTGCTATTTTACATTATAGTCACCAACACGAGTTCAAGTTAACAGCGACGATAGTCGTCAACGTGAGTTCAAGTTAACAGCGACGATAGTCGTCAAAGTGAGTTCAAGTTAACAGCGACGATAGTCGTCAACGTGAGAGTTCAAGTTAACAGCGACGATAGTCGTCAAAGTGAGTTCAAGTTAACAGCGACGATAGTCATCAACATGAGTTCAAGTTAACAGCGACGATGGTTGTCAACGTGAGTTCAAATTAACAGTGACGATGGTTGTCAACGTGAGTTCAAGTTAACAGCGACGATGGTCGTCAAAGTGAGTTCAAGTTAACAGCGACGATGGTTGTCAACGTGAGTTAAAGTTAACAGCGACGATGGTCGTCAAGGTGAGTTCAAGTTAACAGCGACGATAGTCGTTAACGTGAGTTCAAGTTAACATCGACGATAGTCATCAACGTGAGTTCAAGTTAACAGTGACGATAGTCGTCAACGTGAGTTCAAGTTAACAGTGACGATAGTCGTCAACGTGAGTTCAAGTTAACAGCAACGATAGTCGTCAACGTGAGTTCAAGTTAACAGCGACGATAGTCGTCAACGTGAGTTCAAGTTAACAGCGACGATAGTCGTCAACGTGAGCTCAAGTTAACAGTTACGATAGTCGTCAACGTGAGTTCAAGTTAACAGCGACGATGGTCGTCAACGTGAGTTCAAAGTTAACAGCGACATTGGTCGTCAACAGTAGTTCAAGTTAACAGCGACGATAGTCATCAACATGAGTTCAAGTTAACAGCGACGATGGTTGTCAACGTGAGTTCAAGTTAACAGCGACGATAGTCGTCAACGTGAGTTCAAGTTATCAGCGACGATAGTCATCAACGTGAGTTCAAGTTAACAGCGACGATGGTCGTCAACGTGAGTTCAAGTTAACAGCGACGATAGTCGTCAACGTGAGCTCAAGTTAACAGTTACGATAGTCGTCAACGTGAGTTCAAGTTAACAGCGACGATGGTCGTCAACGTGAGTTCAAAGTTAACAGCGACATTGGTCGTCAACAGTAGTTCAAGTTAACAGCGACGATAGTCATCAACATGAGTTCAAGTTAACAGCGACGATGGTTGTCAACGTGAGTTCAAGTTAGAAGCGACGATGGTTGTCAACGTGAGTTCAAGTAAACAGCCACGATAGTCGATAGTCGATGTTTGGTTGGTTGTCTGAGGTTCAAATTAACAGCGACGACGGTCATCGACACGAGTTCAAAAGCGACGATGGTCATCAGCGCGATTTCAAGTTAACTCCGACGATTGTCATCCACGCAAGACTGACAGAGATGGTGGTCACCAACAAGAATTTAACAGCAGCGATGAGTATCAAATGCAAGTTCAATGTCATACTATTTAGACGACGCTATTTTTCGCCTATAAACAAAAATAGAAAAAGTATAGATTACAATGGGCCGTGCGAGAACCTAGGGTATGGTACACAATTGACTGCAACTTCTGGTTTTCGTTATCCTAAACATGTTCCGTTAAAAATTCAATAATATTTTGCTCTGAAAGCTTCTTTTTTGTTGGAATAAGTCGCACGGTTGAATCTTGGTCAGAAACAATTATTTATTGCCAAATGGTTTGAATGTCGCTCGTGTTTGTGACATCACGTGTATTTAAAGCGGGGGAGTCGTCGCCTGCGCATGTGTCAGATGGCCAGAGCGTGTCATTGTTTACAAACAAGCGTCCACCCATGAGCCTTTGCGTGTTGAGCATGTGTTGTTATCGTCGCTTGGGACTCAATTCCCGTTTTAAAAATTTCTAGTACTAGTACTTGACAGCGCGGCCATTTTTGAATTTATTGGTTCGTCCATAAAGACCTCACGAAAATCGACACATATTTGTAAATACAAGTAACTGGGTAAGACACTGTCGCTAACATTTATTGGTAGTACTTGCCGAAGGTGAGTGAAACGAGATATCAGCAAGATATGTATATCTACCTGGTGGTTGCTCTGGCAGCCGCCGCCGCGGTGAACTCAGCAACTGTGAATGTCCGGTCTCCTATCGTCAACTGACCTGTAACCTTAGGATTATCGATAACTTTCTTCCTTCGTGACAATCTAAAAATTGTTTCCATGTGATAATAATGAGTGACTGAATGACATTTATATGTATGCAAACAGACAACAATACGTAATCATGTGACAAACAAATAATTGAAAACAAATGTGTGTGGACTTGACTATTTCGAAACTCGCAAAATAATAGTTTTACCCACAATGCAAAGCCAATCTTTATACGAATATAATAACACATAACATTGAAAACAATGAGGACACTAAATAAATCCGGATGGCGTAATTTAAACGCCCAGTAGCTCGGTTGTAGCCATAGCAACGAATGTTATTACATTATATCGTTTGTGTCATTAGGATTCGAAACAGATTCAAAAACTAATTGACTTCATAATTATTGTTTCCATTCATAACAATTCTAAATATTCAAAATAAATGACTTTTATGTTACATTTAGATATTTCCAGTTTGATTATATTTTCCATGAGATTTAATGGAAATTTCCCTCAGTAACACCCTTGGGTAAGTACAGTTATTACATTATCCTCATAAAATAAAATGACATTCAACATTTTATCCAGAATAATATACTATTTTTCGATTTATCCTATTTATTATTTACTACATTGTGATTAGGACGCTGTCGAGCAAGGGAAAATGTCACATATACCCATTTTCACGTTTATTTCAAATTGTCTCACATTCGATTGCACGTTCACACTGTTATTACGTATAGGTATTAGACCCATGCAGCTTCAACTGCAGATGTTAAAGGGCGGCAGTCGTCGCGCTCCGCCCTGTTCGATATGGGACTCATAGCGACGTATACAACGCGTGTAAAATACATTGTTTATTTACATAAAATTCGAACACGCGCTGCGCGACGACCACCGCGCTTTAAGGCGCAAATACCAATTAAGCAATGCATTCACCTGTGTACGATTAAAAATCATAATTTAACGTTCACTGATTATTAAACGTGCTGTTGAATGTTGAAGTCACATGGGACAGATGAGCGTGTTTTTCTTTTCTTGTGTGGGCGAGTGATGGCGCTTGTCAGTGTGATGCGCAGCAACTTACTTGTAGATGCTATTAAGTGATTCCTGTGGAAGGGTGACAGGTGTATAAGGCAAATATTGACAAGTAGTTAGGTAGCTTGGACTTGTAGCTTTCCTGATATTCCTGTATTCGCATATAACATAAGTAACGTTAGTCATTGAGCTCGCCGGCTAGAGCGATTGGATGACACTTCACTCATGCCAGCGGTGATGCACTGCGTGGAATCGTAGTGCGAGGTGTTAATGGATTTAATTAGTGAAATAATTGAATTGGAATGAATTTGCCAAGGTGGACTATTGACGGCTTTCTGATTTAGTGATTTTAGTGATTTACGTGGTGTGCGGAAAGAAGCTTTGAGTGACAGTCGACTGGTCGGTATTCACTGGGATGCGAGTGCGTAGTTCTATATGATGAAGCTTGTTTAACTAATTTGATGTTGCTAGGCTACAGGCTACCAATGACAACTAATCGAGCACTAGATGTTTCCATTTCACGCATGCAGACGTTTCAATGTCATTACAAATGTTTAAATTTTAATGTGTTTATGTAGCGCGATATTTCAGCAAATACTATTGTATATTCAAATTCGAGAGCAGATTCTATTTTTTTTTGACATTAGGAAAGACGTTATGTTGTGAAAGGTTTTATAGTTGACATTAAAATGCTGCTAATTCAGACGCGGAAGTCACATTTGCTGAAATACTATGCTATTTAAAAACACTTTACGTGAGTTTTACTCAATACGATATGATAAATGAACTTGACAATATCGCCACCAGTGGTCTCGAACAGAGAGTCCCACCAATCGAAAAATGAATGTCTCACTTACTTCAGCCCAGCTTTTCTGTGATATGGTTCAGAGCGATCCAGTGACTCTGTCAACGAGTGAACCTCGTTCTCGGCTTCGTATTCATGGGCTCTTTGCACATCGTAGAGATAATTGAGCGAGCTTTGCCAGTGAGCTTGGTTCTGGGCGTCCTGAGGGTAAATAGTGACGTAATTCAAGTTGGTGACGCAACTGGCTACAGTAAAGGTACGGTCGATCCAGTACTGTAAAATACTTCATTTTTGCTTGGAATGTATTTTCGCAGAAGGGATGATTCAGTTAATCTTTTTTCCTATATTTTACATTCAACTCATCAAAAAATAAAATAAATAAGTGAAAATATATTCCATACAAAACACTCAGCTGAAAAAGTCATTTCAGCGAAAATAAATTCCAGCTAAAATATTTTACAGTAACTATGACAACTATTATATCAATGCAATCGATCATAGCAGTATTGTGAGTGCATATATTCGCACAATTACCTGGGTGGGGTAGGAAATACTGCCACCGTTTGGTACTCTCGGTGATTGCTGTGTATATATTTTTTTCTGTGTAGTTTCCCGTGCCCTTGTCAATGGATTCCTCGCCGTAGAGGCACGAAAACCAGGAGGCCCTCGGTGCTGTCGAAGGAAAAACAAACACACATTGAGGATAGCATGCATTAAACATTCCAGTTTCAGTTTACGTCACCTAATTGAAAGTTTACCATAATTGTCTGTAAATAACATCAGGTCAACGCCAACTTATGTCGCTTAATGAGGGGCAGATTCTACACATGTGACGTTGTTATCACAAGTTTATAAATGCCGTGAAGACGCAGAGCAGCCCAGAACAAAAATCGAAGGAGTATTCGTTTGTATATCTCGCCGAATCTCAAAATAGAAATATTCGTATAATATCTGGTCATTTTTTTCTTCAAATTTGAGTGTTGCACCGACAAAAAGTAAGATCGTTCACGGGTATTCGGGCAAATACTTAGTAAATAAGGGCCATTCTGTACTTCAATAGTGTCACGTAATTTTTGATTTACTCACGTGTCATCAACTGTTTGTCATTTCACCTTTGTGATTGACAAAATGCAAAAAAAATAGTCCTTTTTTTAAAATCAATTTCCATAGGAATACATGTTATACGCATTATTCATACAAAAGAAATAATTCCTAATTATTCGTCATTACAAATCACGTGACCATATTATAGCTACTTAGAATTTTACTACAAGTAACCGAAGGAAATTTGACTAATTTTTGTGCGAGAAGTATTTCAGTGACCATACCCTTTTTGTTCCGGCGTTTTTGAACGAATCATGATCACATCAAACAAATTTGTCAAATCATATGTCTTAATAGTATCCAACTATATTTAATAGTATCCAACTATAACTACCTCCTACGATCGGACCAGTAAACTGGTCAAACCAACGTGCTTATGGAATATCTACCTACCAGGCACAGTTATTGTTAGTAAACACACCACCGCAACTTAGTTTAACACGATAAGAATAAAAATAGTGATATTTAACATCAAACCATGTGCACGACAAATCTGGGATAGTGTAACCAAATTTACGAGTTATACTAGTGGTTATTTACAGCACTGTGTACTCTAGCATACATATATTGCAGTGGAGAGAAAGGGGGGGGAAGGGACAGGCAATGCGGGACAGGGGCGGGGAAATGGGACTGAACTCTACACACGATGCATACGCTACAAGTACTTCGAAATGAGCTTGAAAATATAAGGTTTATAAGCAAACACGCATCTCAAAGCAATTGCAATTACAGTTTAATATTCATTTTTAAATATTATTTTACTGCAGACTGACATTCTGTGGCCTCTTACCCGGATGTGTGTATATTTCTTCCCTAGAACGACGCACGACATTCTCTCATTCATGGATAAAGCGGACTGTTACATTACAGTCAACACAAACGAGAGGATTGAAAACAAACAAAAAACATAACATCACTTAAAATATAATGTATATTCGTAACACGTGTATTGTCATTTATTGGCAGTATCGCTTGACGCATTAACCGGGTACACAACGGCGCCGACGCGCGAACGAGGTTATTGTTATGATTTACGAGAATGACGTCATTTATTCGGTGGTCATCGGTTTACACGAGGGTCGAAATGAGTTTGTTTCATACTCTTTCGCAAAGTTTTGTTCAACAAATTTTGCAATTAAATCTGAGACGAAATCATGCGAAAGAGGAGTTAAAAAGATTATAAACTGAGGCTGGTGGAATTTGAGTGGATTTATAATGCAACTTAGTAACTATTAGATCGGGACTGTACATGAAACGACCCGATAACTGTCGGCTCACCAAATCGCACGTAAATGTCGACGTCACTAATTAGTTTATTTTCAGTTTATTTACAACTTAACTATATTTTAAATAATATACTCAGAACTGAAAAACAACAAAAATATGCATTACAATTTTCACCCCTTTCCCAAACCTGGAACGTTGCGTTGAAAGGAGTAACGTGGTCGCTGGCTCCCGGCGTCCCGGCATCTCGGCGCATGCGTCTTTGCTCACTTGCGCGGAGTACGTCGAGAACCAGCGAAATAAATTCTGCTTCTTTGGGTCACCTGAGGTGGCCAGGAAAATGATAGTATGATTACGTAATTGGCCTCGTTCCGAGCTGTAGTATGCAGGTCCAGTAAACACGGTATTCCACGTGACGTTCCAGGCTTGAAGTAGAGGGAACTGCAAATGGTAACTTTCACAAGTTAACACTATACTAGTATAAGATAATATACTTGAAGATAAACCTCTTCATTGCACACCTTTGTCTGCAAATCACGCAATTGTACGATATGAACATGATGACGTGGTATGCAGTGAGGCAACCATAAAATAGTAAAAATAAAACTGCAAAAGCGCGTGTTTGTTTGTTAACGCATTCTTTCCTCACCTTAGTATCTCGAGATGGGCAAGCAGGAGGGCCCGATTTCACTCGGCCCTTGCAATATTGGAGAAATCAAACAGTTCGTTAGTTTGCATATGTTTAGTAGAAATAGAGAGAGAGAGGAGTGAGTGAGACCACAGTCAGCTGGCGTACAAGTGGTAAAAAAAATCTCGGAAATAAATGGAAAGAATTTACTGCTAGTTACCCTATGGAGGAAACCATTTTGAATTCTCGCCAGACATGTTTTTTTATTAACGCTAGCTGACTGTGTGCAAGATGTACGTTTAGCGATGAGCGCTTGCGTCGTTTAAGTTAAACAACAGCACACATTAACACACAGCGGATGAGTAATTTAGTATTGAACAACAGCTAGGCCACTTTTTTATTTGAAGGAAATATGACGATTCAGAAAAGCATTCGTCACCTATCTACTTACAAATCTTACACCACCAAATCATATGACCAACTGGTATATTTCTCAATGCACCCTGCTACTCCTATATTTCCAGTGGCTCGCTTCGCTTCAACAGCTGTGAGACTGATGTATGTGGGGTTGTTTAACGATTGACAATTCTAAACTGTCCCAAAAGACTTGAAACATTTTTTTTGTTCTGTTCTGTTTTGTTTCGAATCTGCCTATTTTGTAGGACTTTGGCCGCGACAACGTGCATTTTCAACCGTGACGATAACTTGGTCACCCACCGGTATATGTAATCGTTCTCAATGGTCGTTAACGTTTGTAACATGACGCTATCAACCTTGATGGCTGATGTACGAGCACCCGATGGATATAATTTAGCTTGGTGAGTGTATTCAAACATTAGGAGAGTTGAGCGTTCCGTGGTTGTCACGTACGTTAGCGAGCTCACTAGCAACAGGGAACCAAAAACTCGTCTATATATAGTAGACGACACCCTCCAGCGAATAAACACTCCAAGTTCGACAAAATTAAGTAATCGGTCGTAAACGATGTTCAAATAAACAATGTTGCTTTTCTAGTCGATTATGAATATACTGTAAAATGAATAATTTTCACTGGGTTTAAATTTCACTGATTACCATTTCAGGCATATTCTGTGGGTTTTAAATTCACGGTTTCGTCATTAAGATAATGTGTTCTATGCTAAATTTTACATATTCACTGAGTTTTAATTTAGCGCATTTTTCCAGTCAGCGAAATAAGCTAAATTTAAACCCAGTGAATAATTACCCCCTTTACAGCCTGACAAGGTCGCGTGAATCGCGCTCTCTGCGGTGCTCCAAACCCAACACAGTGAGGTCTGATGCCGTTCGGCCGGCGAGGGCGCTACTCACGCCTACATGTCTACGCCTATTATGACTATAGCAACTCTCTTTATTGACGGGCAGCCAGACACCCAATATTGACCTTGTGAATGGCGTCATATACAAAAACTACGTCACGGAATCCTTTCTCGCTGGAGGGCGCGACTTATAGCAAAGGCGTATTGTAGTCAAATATTTCATGCTTCATGACATGGAATGAGAAGTGAACTGTGTTTGATACTGCACCAGTAATTATATTATTACGTTTATTTTGCTTCTCATAGAATCACATGGACCAAAAAGAGTAGAAAATTAAATTTGAAATGAAACAAATGGCAGATTTAGTGTTAGCAAATGAAGACACGGCAGCATGTTAAAAGCGTATGTCACTCTGTCGCGTGCCTGCTTGTTTATTTGCCAAAGCAAGAAAAACAAATACTATGAAAATGTACCTGAGAGGGCGCTGGCTTAACTTTTGGCTGAAGCCCCCTTTCTCTGTACTGTGCAACGGGACATCTAAGGACAGTCTGTATTGCCGTGTAGGGGTGAAATGGAATATATGATATGCATAAACACAAAAGGGATTCTTTAACAGAATCAAAAAATAATTTCAAGAATAGCCATTGTTCAAAATTAGTCGTAGAGGGCGCCGTACTTAATACTAAATTTGAAAATATTGTCGTCCAGAGCCTCAGTCAGGCACAGTGAATAATAAAAAAGGACACACAAAATTATTATCAAAACTTATCGATATTAATTTGACAATAATGTATTTTTGGTAGACAAAATGTGAATTTTCGCATTGGACAAAATAATAGTCTCTTTAAAGTTGAAACTGAAAATGATCAGCGAAATGTTGATTTCAACTCATTCTATCAACTGGCTGGGTGAGGTGATTTGATCGTCTGTAACATGGCGGCATGGCGGCCACCTTGCACTGTTACAAGACCGTGACTTTGTTAACAGTCAGCGATTGAGTTTTACTAATTCAATGAAGAACTCACAACAAAAATACAACTTCTCAATAAAAAAAATAACAACTGAAATATTAAAAGTAAAATAAATGACGCAAAGCTAAAATGAAAAAAATAAAATCAACAGAAAAAACAAAACATGAATAATAGTTTGATACCTCAGCTGGACTGTAAAGGTTCGCTAAAGTAGCGGCCACACAATGGTGATATGCGCACCTCTATGCATATAGGTGAAAAACAACTCACGAATTGAAGACCAAATACTTCAGGTTTAGGTAAAGAGGCAATTAAATTTGACGTTTGACTTTCGTGATTTTTTTTTATCTTACGGCCGACGACGGCATACTGCTTTCAAATTAGTTCTGGCTTCCGTAAATTCACCCAAAACAACCAAGTTTCCAGAATTGATACAATTGATGACGTCAACGGATTTGCCTAAACGGTTTTCAGCATTTTTACTATTCTCTAAAGTTAATAAATTCCGTCCGAATTGTTTTATATTATTTGCTGTGTATTTTGGGCCACTGGCCAGGAAAGTATAAACAAATACCAATGAATGGAACACACTCATCTCAGTTTTAATTGTACATTAACAGTTATTTAAAACCCACTCGTGTGTATCTGGTAATAACGCATGGAATAAAGACGTGGCCGATCAAAACCAGTTTTTCTGTTACGTAATGATACGTCAATTTGTCAATGGGTTATAGACTAAACATTCACAGACCATCGATTGTCATGGTTGCATTTGGGAAAGAGGGGGGTGGGTGGAACATGCAAATTAATGTGTGAACGGACATGGCAACTTACTGGAATTTAACAGGAGGGTACCACTTCTGGTTATTTACATGGACTCACTGACGTTTACGTGTGGAAAACGAGCTGGGAAGCTGATTAGAAGCGGTTAAAAATGAGGGAGTTGAATTTGGTGTTGTCGGAGTAACATGGCAACCGTACGGGGAGCTCAAATACATGCTTAACAATGTGCGTACCATGAACCTGTATGATTAGTAGGGGGTTATAGATATGAGTACACACACACAAACAAAAAACCGTGCAACCCGAAATCAACCCGAATATAATCTTGTTATATCAACATGCATTACCCATGCAAGTCTTAGTTTATAGCAGCGCCCCCACAGTCTGTTTGTTTTAGTTATTTTGTTTTTATCCGCGAAGTGTAACTGTGAGTGCGCTGTGTACACTGAGACATGGATGTGCCGGCATGCGTCCTTACCACCAATTGAGCTTGAGACAAGATACCGTGGTTTTCCACAATATATGGGAGGAAACCTTCATAAAACTTGAAGAGAAGACAGAAAAAAATCGGTCATACGATGCGATGGTGACGGTCAATATAATACAAGCAGGTAAAAGGGAACGTTAACTGACTACGCATGCTCGGTGAATTGTGAACATTACAATTCAGTGATAGACAAGACAAAATGATATGAAATACAAATTAGACTAAGACACGTTTTTATTCCAAGCAATACAATCCTATAAGTCGTTTTCTCTAGTAGGCTAGGGGGCTTCTATGACGCCAAATTGACGTATATGGTGAAAGGCAGTGACAACTGTGTTTGGTTGTATTGCAGTTTGTCATCGAAAATATAGTAAAATCTCTCCAAAACACAATCTTTATTGACGGACGATTTCAGATGAAAATTACAACGATGCTTTGAACGACCTTAGTGTCACCCATTTACGTCATAGGAGCACGTCGCCGCTAGAGGGAAGAACTCAGAGGAATTTACACGATACTGAGTGTATCCATGCACCGACAGAAGTAACACATCATACAAGAATTCAGCGATTCTAGTTTATGCTTCCTTCGCGTGGCCTTCTTTACGCTATATGTGTTGCAGCACGACCAGGTCAGCCTAACGCATGTAACACGCCCTCTGGATACCAATGGACGATGATCGTAACTAGGATACGCGTAAACTAGAATCATCATCTTATCTGACATATTTTCGCATGCTCCGCTAATATGTTGTGTTTACCATTATACATATATTTATTTACAGCGTTCGATTTATATCATTTTATTCGCAGTTATCACAAATTTTGAAATTTCGTTTGTGTTCAAGTTGTTATTTATGATTACAAATTTGGGCGTTATTCTGCCCTCTCAAATCTGCGAATAAAATGCCAAAAGTTACAGCTACAAGCGTGTGTTTAGTAACGTAGATATATGTGACGTCACACTTATTATAATACGCCCTTTTTAATAAGACCCTGGACGACATAGAAACCAGTAAGTTTGATGGGTTAATTTGATCACTTGTTAAATAAAATATTTGGTAGTCATGCATTAAGTGATGAGTTATGATTAAAATCATAATATATTGATTGACAACCAATAGGATAATTGTGCTGTGTTTACGTGAAGTACACAGACAATGTACACACAATCACATGCTGTTACACTGAACGATTACTTATAGGTCTCACACCACAATCAGGTTAGTTACAGCCGATAACAAGTATCAGACACACAGACAAAGTCATTTTTATCACGCTTTTAAATGAAGAAAACCGGTATTTAAAATAGATACTGGCTCTAGAACACTTTCTGGTCGTGGTGTGAAACCTATAGCTGGAATTGAATAATGGAACTGAACATATGTTATTACAAACTTAAAATAAACGGTGATCCCACCCTCCCTGACAGAGTCTTCGAGCTTACTACCTGACCTAGGGAGCTGCAGAGAGCTGCAACTAGTGGGGCGTTCCCTGGCGACTACTTAGCTTAGTGATAAAAGACCCATAGTCTCTGCGAAGGAGAATGCTGTGACCACTGTGGTTTATGATTGCAACATGTCACATGAAACATGCAAAGCTCAGAGCCATGTTGTGATGAATTTCCTTGCCGAAGAAACTATACGTGACGTCCACCATGATGTTCAGTCTGATTAAAATCAAATCCTTTTTTTTTAATTTTTCGAATATAATTCAATTTATATTTGTTCATACATTTTATTTTATTTTATTCGAATTTGTTGGTGTAGTTTTTTTTTTATAAGTTATAATTGCGAAAATAAACGAAAATAAAAAAAAACACTAGGGTCTTATTTTAATCAGATTGCATATTATTGAACCGTTCTAATTTAACTAGCGCCCTTGCAGTCTGCACGATTGTGTAATTCAGCTCTAGTTGCATTCCAACTTTGTATTATACACGGGTCATCACGATGAGAAATGATCAAAATTAGTTGTTATGGCAACAAATCCTGAAACATTAGAGAGCCGCCTCACTGTACAGAGCAGTGTCTATAATAACAAACCAAACAAATGCATTTCTTTACGCTGCTTACACGGAGCTTTCTGTAGATCGTACAAAGTTGGAATGCAACTTTACGAAAATTCAGCACCAAATGCCGGCTGACAATCAACTGGACATTTATACGGTACTTGCTTCTAGTTTGCCGAAATTATAGAAAACACTGTCCTAGATTGCGGTACATCGAAAATCATGGGTGTATCAGAGGTGTAGGCGGAGGGGGGGGGGTCAACAATGCTTCTTTATAATAGACTAGATCACTTTTTTGCTAGGATGTCTGAACAATGATTGATGCGACCCCCAGGGTGTATATCTTTTTATAAAATAGTATACCCAGACTCACCTTTTCAGTAAACCGACTGAGGTCAACGCCCTCTCGTAACATTACCATACCGAGTTCACTCTCCGGGTCAATATAACCCTCTTCTATTTGGCCATTTTCACAGTACCCTATTTCCGAACCGTTCTCAGCGTCACCAACTAACTTCGAAGTCGATGAGACTCTTGGTAACGTTTTTGCCGACGTTCCGTTGTGTGTTAATTGTAAACTCTGAGTCGATGTTTCTGTTGTCGGCCTGCTGTAAACAGGCGGAAAAGACGAACCTTCGGTTTTGTCTGTTCTATGCGAGTCCTTTGAGGGCGTTTTCACCTTGAATCTGTTATTATTTTTAGCCCCCTGAGGGCTATCGTTTTCTGTTAAAGTGATATGTCTCTCCAATCTCGGCGTACTGTTTAATATATCTGACACACTCACTGTCTGCGAGTCGAATACGTTGCATTTACTTGTATGTTTTTGTAGCTTGTGGTCAATGTTTGCACGTGGATAATAAGAGGCTGTACTTTCTGGTTGGTAAATAAAGTGCGCCCTCTTAGAGGGCGACGAGTGTAAATTCCTTTCATCGCCATTGGTGGCGGAATCTCTCCCGGAACTAGAGTCAGTGTTATCGGAAAGCAGAGTTGTCGTACTACCAGGCGTTTTCGATTTGGTGTACGAAAATTTCACCGCATTCGGAGATTGGTCGTTTTCCGTTCGTGGCGCTGGGATTGGTGTCGGTGGGCTCTCGTTCGGAGTTGCGGCGCCTGAAGTTTCGGTGGATCTTGAAAAAGTGGGCGTTTTCTTATCAGAGAACGTTTTGTTATTAATACCATTTTGTTTTTCTGTAGATTTTCCGTTTTTAATCGCCAAGTCGTGCTTACGCTCCCCGATACTAATAATAAGCCGCGACATATTGATCGCACTTTTCGCAGTTCTACTATTCGAAATATCCCCCGACGAACTGCTTCTGTGTCGAGCGGACTCGGAAGATCCGCCATGATGTCCTGCAGTTCGATGGCTACCATAGCTACCGGCGGACGCCCTATGCATAAGTGTCCGTTTTTGATCAAAAGTTTTAGTACTTGAATAAATTCCATTTAAATGCTTACTTTTTGTAATGTCTTTTTTATCCTCTTTTATTTCAGATACAATCTCCGACACGCTCGGTCGCTCCGGCGCTGAGCGCGCGCGTGGTTTCAAGCGAGGATCAAGACTCGACTCCACAAACTCTTTCACGTCTTCGATATAGGTACATTTTGTTCCTGTTGTGCATAGATACTGTTGCCATGCATTTTGTGAATGCGCGTGATTGGTTTCTGTAAATGAAATAACATAAACAAAATAATCAATGTTGTTATCATAACCATGGGTCATTTTCTTATATGCCCGGAGAAGCATTAAACAAACAAACAAACAGGGAGTGGCGTGATAGTTTTGAATACACAAAAAGAAGGGGCATGCCTTTTCACTAGGTACCTTAGGGGCAAGAGATTTCTAGGACACAACAGCAATTTCTTCACTGTCATTAACGACTATTCTGATTGCTTTGCATTCTCTATTAATATCTGGAATGGCAGATTAGATCTTGTTTCTTTAACTATGTGAATATGTTGCAGCATTGTGAAGCACGGGGTGTCATATTTACTTCGCTGTGGGAACTTGCCTTTGCAGGGTAATACTCCCATTGGTCAGTAAATAATTTTCATAGATGCGGATTTCCACCAAACACTGTCACTCTACTAGAGTGACTGTGCACCAAATGACACGATTTTCAAATGACTGGGGATATCACTTTTGTTATCACCACGCTATGTTACATAGTCAATCAATCTCACGGTCACCAGATAACAGTGGAGGTGAAATATATTGCTGATTGCAGACAAAAGTGGAAAGTCTCCAGCAAGTGGATGTGGCATCACATTGCTAGGCTTTAATACTTTACTTAAAGGG